TGTTTCTATTAGTCTTCCAACCATTATGGCCAAGTTGCGAAAACAAGATCAAACAACTTCTATACAACGAAAGGAGACTGCGACCACACAAAGGCCACACCATCTTGGTCTTTACATCTTCGATTAAAAAGTGATATATTTTAGCCCACAAAGATATCAGTAGGCCATTTGGTTTCACTTAGTCGTGCTTCTCAAGTGTTGATTAGATATAGGCGAAGTCGATGCTGAATTCGACCCTGGATAAGATAAATACAAGTTAAATCCTATAGCATTGGGTTGTAAACAAAGCTATTAGACGGCAAAAAAACTCAGGCGACCAAGAGTGGTTAAGTCATAAAAAATTTAAAATAAGGTATAATGAAACAATAGACCAGGAGATAAATCCGGTGGCTTCTTTTTGTATGTATCATAATTGCTTATGCACTTAGGGAGCCATTCAAATAAGCGAAGACGCTGTAAAAACGAATACTAACATATGTAAAAAAATTGGGTTTCGAAGAATCACTTAAGAGATTGATGTTTTGAGTACATTTCACTTCGTTTGAAGAGGAAATGCGTCCTCGCTGAAAGCTGAAGGAGGATTGCCTTGGAACTGCGACTAAATTTATGCAAATAGGTACTCGGCAAGCCGTTCTATGATTACAATGAATCATTGTTAGACTTTCGTCCGTCATGCGACTTTTTTGTCTTTGTACTTGATGAATTATCGTCACATGACGGACGCAAGCTCAACAAGGATTCATCGGGTCGCAGGGTGGTGAACCGAGAAATTATTCGCGCAAATCCATACTCACAGGCCCAAGAGAACCAACCTTCATTTTCCGGTGAAACCCACTTATAAACCCCTATCAGTTGCTTCTTCAAATGAGATGAAAGGTATTCCTTCTAACATTGATACTAGCGTGACCTACAAGGCCTGCAGCCTTTTCTTCGTCCTGCTCAACTTCATCTTCTCCATAGCCAGGTGGGAGCTGAGACATCGCTTGTCTGGCATCCTCATTCTCTGGATCCAATTTTAAAGCACGCCGTAGAAGCTGCTCAGCCCTGCCAGGATCCTTGCGAGTTAGCTCGCCCGCG